CAGCGCCTCGAAGGCGCTGCCCGCCCTGAGGGACCCGTCGCCGCTCGATGGTTGAGTGTAACAAAAAGGTTTCCCCATCCAGAGCATCTTACAGGATGCTCTGTAAGAAAGCTTATTATTACACACCATCACTTAGTTCAACAGTTCTGAAAATGAAGACCTGAACAGTGTAAAACACAGGCAATGTGCTTAATCCTAGAGAGGCAAATAGAAGAAGAAATAAATCTTAAAGATATGTAAAAACAGTCAAAAGACAACCATAAGAACAGCTGTTTTTTAAAGACTCTTGTTAATCAGGAAAAGCAAAAAAAAAAAAAAAGATGACCTGTACAGAGGAACTTGTATTTATGACTGAATGGAAGACAGGACCACTCCAAAATAAAGATATGGAAGCAAGACATATGTACAAGGTGAAAAAAAGGTCAGTGAAAGTAAGAAATAACATGGAGAGTTGACTCACCAAACAAATATCCAAGTTAATCAACATTATCGGAAGAAATGATACATGTAAAAGCCATGAAAATATACCAGACAAACTTGCAAGTTGTGGCATCACTTCAGAAGTCACCATGTTTTTGAAAAAACAAAGGAAAAAAAAAAGAGAGAGAAACACTATTACAAATTACCTACCACTTGTCCTGGCCAGCCATATCGAATTAGTGCAAGCAATCAGTTTCATATGCAAGTTCATAATTTCTAACAGCCTGGAAAAAACTGAACAAAAATATATAATCATGCTGCATGAGGGCAAATGTGCACAGATCTGAGGTCAGAAGGTGGTAGGTGAGCTCAGTGGAATGCAAACAAGATTAGCATGACAATTGCAGGACAGCCAGGAGAAACTGGAAAGCTGCAAGGTAAACTGCTTGAAAAGGACTAGGAATAACTGGTTACTCTTTTTTCAGTACCCAACGAAAGAAGCCACGCTATGAAGTATTAGAAGACTAAGATAACTTTAGAGAGCTGACTGAGAACAGGAAGAGCAATGCACACCAAGACATTGCTGTAAGACAAACCATGGAGTGGTGTTTAGATAATCATTGACTTCACCGATTTAAAAAAAAAAATAAATACTGCCATAGATCACAGAGCTAGAGAACAGAGCAGTAGTTCTTCCAAGGAAGTATGTTAATGTCGTCATAATTTCTCCCAGATAACCTAAACACAACGCACAATTTAACAGCAAGTTACAAAGTGCATCTTGCTATTTGGCTTTTGGAATGGACATGAGTCTATTAATAAAATGGTTGAATCTCCGCATTCTTTCAGAATAGACAAGATATGCATTCACAATACAGGTGTCTTCGCATTTCCAAAACTTTCTACCTAGCTGATAATGAAATACCCTACTTCACCTAGAACAGGTACCCTGATTTCACAGCTGCATTTTTTATAATAAAATTACTTTTAAAATTACTAGGCTGTCAGTAACAAAGGCCGTTCTATTTCTTTTCTGTGACAGCAGAATTGGAACTAGGTGGGGACACAAATTGCTCCCACTTTGTAGCAAGAATCAGCTACTAATTTCAATGATCCAGATTAAAAGGCTTATGACTATCAATTCTCTCATCCATATACTCCTCTTGCTCTTCATCACATTATCAGTTTTGAAGTTTCTATATTCTTCTAAAAGCACACTTGATTCAATGTTGGAACAACTCCACCTATCTTTAGTTGCTTCACAGCATCTAAAAAGGCTTAGAATCCACTCTCTGTATAACAAACGTTTATTCAGAAACAGGTAATACATTATCTTCTCCAACCCCTAATGTTTCCTCCCCCTCCCCCCATTTTTTTTTAATAAAACACAGGTGTTTGATGGGCAATCTAAAAAAGGAAAACAATAGCTGTCTTAGGTACCCTCCCCTACAAACATCTGCTGTTCACATGAAGCACCCTGCCAATAATGGTGGTGTTGGCTTCCAAACCAAAGAGAGTACTCCAGAAAAACAAGTCCTGCCAAGTCCTCAGTTATTTCCATGGCTAAAAGGGATACAGTAAGCTAGAGGAATGGTTTGCACGAGCTAGATAGAGCAAAGAGTTAATACAGAACAAGAAAGCAAAAGAAACATAGGGTTTACCAAGAAATGGAATCCAGACCTAGAACCATTACAGAGAGTTCATTAGTTCAGTGGAGCTGAACAGAATGGATTAGGTTAGTCTCCTAGCTAGAAGGATCAAGTTCAAACCCCAACCAGATTCTGGAAGTGGCTCTTAGCTTTCCTCTCTTATAATACATTTTGAACAAATACAAATGAATGGAGCTACCAGGACTTCAAATATCCATGGCAATAATGCTGTACTAACAAAGGAAGTACTGGAAGTGCCACCTAGTGGCCTGTGGCTCGTCACAGATTCTCACTGGCCCAAGGTACATCCTTGCTGCTCTGCATGGGACTTACTCGACACTCCTCTCCATGTGTTCCTTACAGAGTGCTAACTGCTCTCCTCTCCAAAACCTCTCCCTGAAGCCATGAAGTGCAGCAATCATCCTCCAAATCCATGCATGCGAGCAGCATGCCCGCACAGCAGCCAAACATTCCCCAAATTACATCTCTCAAAGAAGTGAGTTCTCAGGCACAAGAAAAGACTACTTCTTATGTATTAGTATCTGAAAAAGGCCCAGCTCCTTCCTTTTTATAGGAGACTGGATAAGTTAGCAGGTAATAAAAAAATTAATGTCCCTGCGTCAGCAGGAGGATGCAATAGTCTAATGGGAGTGAAACACCTGGATTTCCTCTAGCTCTGAACACAAGACTGGTTCTTATTTTTCAGTCCAGAAAGAAGAGAGCAACTGAACCTGACCCTACAGGTCACTGTACAAATGCCAGAGCCGCCTCCCCCCCCTCCCCCCCTGGCATTACCAGAGTCAAAGCATCCCTCCCATAGCACAATGGTGGTGCACTTGTGCATATGTCCTTTCTGCCTGATGCCTCCGTTGGCTGGTATACACAGTGGGGAGCTCAGTTTTTCACACTTCTTCTCAACGTCACAGCTGCTGAGCAGAAAAATGTCCAACAGCCAGAATGAAGTAGTATGCCACCAAATGCATACAAATCAAAGATGCAAGATGGTGCTTCCTGTATGGAGTCACACCTGACTTTGTACCCAGTGCAGCAATTTCAGAAACAATGTGGTGTTCTTGCCTGTTGATAATCAAGGGGATGCACCTTTTAGTTAAAGGTCAGTCAGAAGAAAAGAGAAGGAGATCACCACTCCTTCCCTCAAGGTCTATGTGCACTTTTAATGGCCACTAGGGGCTTTGGAGTAAAGGAGGGAGTTACATGGTATATGCTTCGTAATACATTACTGGCAGAAGGGGGAGGTTATTCTTCTGGAAAAAAAATCATGGGAGAAAACTCCAACTATGAAAGGCTTTGGAGTAAAGGAGGGAGTTACATGGTATATGCTTCGTAATACATTACTGGCAGAAGGGGGAGGTTATTCTTCTGGAAAAAAAAATCATGGAAAAAACTCCAACTATGAAAACAGAAAGTACACACACAAGAGGAAACACTATTGTACAGTAAGGTAGCGATCATAGAAAACAAAAAATTTCAAGGCAGGCAAATGCAAGTAACATCTGCACTCCTGCACTTTTCTCATTCCTCAACTTAAATGAGTTTTCCAGTCCACTGCTCGCTCCCCCTTCTCAGAGTTTAATTTTGAATTCTGTGGGCTGCACAGAGGCAGAGACCCCTGAGGATTTGAAGAGTGCCTTCAAGATAGTGTCAGGGTCCACCTCAGCTGGGGGATTTGAGGAGGCGCTTGCACTTGACCGGCGTGGTTCCCCTTCCTTCTTCACTGAAGGGGTATCACTCAATCGGCTGGAGGATGAAAAAAAGCAGTATTTAACCTCTCATTATGAAATAAAATTTAACACTATGTCTGCATTTACTGTTCTCGGTGTTGCCCCCTTCCCAATATTAGAGATAGAGGTTTTAAATATACTTTCCTCATAAGAAAACTTCCTCATCTCAGACTTGTTTTGGGCTGGGAATACTATGGAGCCAAGCTATATAGCACTCAGCTCAACATAAAGTTCCACAGAGAGGAAGAGAAGGAGAATATTCATGGGACAATAATTTGCTAACAGTTTTCCTCCCCTCCCCTCAGGTCCTCCTCAAAACAGAACCTGCAAATGTGCTTGGTTCTTCCCCTCCACCTAAAAGACACTTACAGCAATATAGGCTGGTCTGAGGTGATGACATTCCCATTCATATGAAGATTGCATTTCATTGGTTGACCTAAACAAACACAATAAAAAAGTCCTTGTATCAGAATCATGGTAAGGCAAGACCCCAGAAATATCACACACCAGTGCAAGCAATAGAGTTCCACATGCTGGGGAAACATGAGAAAGAACAGCTGATACATCTTTTGTTGCAAAATCACAGCAACAGGAGAGCCACTGAAACACTCAGTACAATATGAAGACTCACACTAGTTAAGAAATTACATATAGGTACAAAACCCTTAGCAGAGACAAAAGAAAATCTCCCATTCTCAGCTGTCTGCTGCTCATCTGACATTAATAACGTTACTCATTTAGAGAAAGAAAAAGCATCTATTTCCAGCTAAAAATTAACACATAATTTCAGCCTATAACAACATTGCAGGTGGATCCAGATTAACAATTGCATTGTTCAAAGTTTATGGAGAAGCTGATACTAATTGTTTTACAGGTCTGATTCAAAATGTCTCTGACTATGCCTTGAGGGTTTTGCAAATATTAGTTTTACTTATACTTTGCAAGCAGCTGTTCTGTAAGCAGGTAAAGCCTTCCTAAGGACTACCTAGCTCCCAGCACTAGATTAGAAACAAAAGAAATTTAATCTGTAAATTAGAGCAGTGGAATCATCAGGACCCTGCCTCTAGCTTTGAGCATTCTCTTTCTAGGAAAAAGTTTTTTAAAATTTCCCTTAAATAAACTGTGCATATATTCAGCTAGTTACATAGAAGCGTATTGCATTGTCTAGCTCTTGAACTGATTTTCTGGCATTTCCTCTCTCTTCGTAGCATATAAGCATCTGAGATGCTTTTAAACTCTCTGCTGAGGTAGAAAAGTCTTTGTTGATTTATCTATCCTAAATGCAACTCTGGTCTCAAACTCACCGTCTAAGCACCTGTTGTTGTATTTCTTATATGCTGTGATAGCATCTTCTTTCTTCACAAATACTACCTCAGCCACTCCAGGGTGCACCAGCCGGGCTCGCTTCAGAGCGCCACACACACAGAATAACTCCTGAGGGCAGAGAGTTAGTCATGACCACGGTCACATCAGAGGTACCACTTCAGCCAAAGACACCAAGTGAGAAAGGCTTAGTTTCCTAATTGCACCACCCATCCTGCTTAGTAAAATACATGGCAGAATTTTGCCACTTGTCTTATTTTGTGTTTGCTATGGTATGAGTACTTGGCATTAGTCATACAGGTTGCACAAAGCTCCATACTGCTACCAACACAAGCAGAAGAGTTCAAGGCCCAGTACTCTATACTGTTTGTCACACATGAAGACCAGGCTCATTCTCAGCCTGCTGAGAATGGAAGCGCCTAGGTAATTTGGATGGGGGCATAAGCTTGAGGACACCACCAAGCATGATTTGGCATGAACTCCTCTAAGTGATGCCAGGTATCTCAGTACACCCTAGAAATGGTATTTTGTCCCAGCTTCTTAAGCACACGTTTTTTAAAAAAAGTGACTAAAAACCAAAACAAAAGAAATCAGGAACTCTCAAAGTTTTTGCAAGGAAAGCAAACCCATGCCATACCCCTCTTCATTGCATTCACCACAGATCAAGTGATTTATCAAAAGAGGTAGGTTAAGGGAAAGAAGCATCACTCATCCACAGTTCAGCAGTAAGCAACACTCACAACAATGTCTTCCTCTGTGACTCGAGGATGCAGATTGTTTACAGTCATCTTTGTGCCTTCCAAAGGACTGAACGCCAGCTGCCAACACAAACAAATGCATCGCATAAAAAAAGGTCAGAAATGCAGCAGGCAAGACAGCACAGCAGAGAAAGCATTAAATAAAAGTCACTAAAGGGATGTCTGGGAAAGTCTGTACACACACACAAAGGTGAGAGCTACAGCTAGTAATGGGAAGTATCAATGCTTACAAAAGCGCAGCTCATCTGATGGTGAAGAGGAGCCCCTTTTCCATGCTAATTTCTCTCTGAAGTAACTTTCCTCTTTCATTCCCAAGTATAACACTAACTTAATCTGCATACATACACAGTACTCTCTGGTCATGCCCACACTTTTAAGTGCATGTGTCTGCTGCACTCTACACCAGCCAGCAAACCCCAAAATATGGCTCCAGCCCCTCAAGAACATGCTGAACTCAAAATGCCTGGGAACACCTGGTGGGTTACCTGTACCCAACATCAGGCAGTTTGGTAAAGCAATTCCAGGCAGCTTGTCTACAAATTGCCTGAGAGGTCTTGTGTGGACAGCAAGAAGCTGTATTTGGAAAAAATCCCATTTTTCTCCTTGCTAACAGGAGCGGACAGAAGACAACATAACTAGTAGTGTTAAAACACTATTCCTAGGGACATGGAAGCCTCCAAGGAGCGTCCAAACAACAACTGCCACCTCCTGTAACACAGATTCCCCCAGGACCATGTGCTCCCATGCTAGATAAAAAAGTTGAGAGAAGCAAGATGCAATAACTGAGAATTCCCAGTCTCTCAAACGCTGAAGAAAAGGATGTTTAGACAGGTTTCAAATTCTCGGGACTTGGGTTGCAGCTATCAGAATAAGCTTGATGGAGTTCCAGAAATAATGGTGGAAGGCAGGCAGAAATGAGCTGCTTGCATAACCGATAAACAGCAAGTTTCAGATGTTTCAGAGACTTCTATAAAGACCATCTCCCACTTCCCTGAGCTCACCTCAACAGGTGCTGGTTCTTTTGGAGGCTCCTCCTTTGTCACTAAGGTCCGGGACATGTTTGTCAAGGCCTTCGTCCGCATAGGAGAGGGAGGTGCAGGTGGAGCTGTGTATGTATCATTCTGGACCACTTTAGTCAGGGGAACAGTCTTGGACAGAGAGAATTTATTGCCACTCAGCCCAGTCTACAGGAAGAAAGAATAAGTATCTCTGAGAGCTGCAGGCTACAACAGTCATCCCTCCTCTTCAAGCACCAACAGCAGGAGAGCATTACTAGCACGCACTAAGAACTGCATGTCCTTCCCGGTGTCAAAAACTCCACAGTGCTGGAGACTTTCAGCTTTGAGACAAAAATCAGCTGAAGTTTCTGACTTCCGTCACTAATGAGCACTTTTTAGTTTCATATTCTTAAATGAACTTTACCAGTGCGATTTGAATTTGAGAAGCTCCTTTTATTCAAAGATTTTCAAGTACTTTACAAAGTGTACACAAAGACTGCTCATTAAGATTGAGCTGCCCCAGTACAAAGAGCAATACTTCTTCAGAAACACCAAGCTAGGGCATGCAAAGGTTATGCTCCATCATAACCTTTCTAGTTGGAACTACCTGGAGAGTTTAAAGCCAGAATAAAAATTGTGCTTGGCAGCTGCTGTGAACACTGAAGATAACACGTTTATTCCTGCAAAAAAACCTGTAAGGCTGATTTTAAGGATGACAAATGGCCAGGAGCTCTATTCTGAATACCCACATGAGAAAAAAACATGGGATAATCATTCCACTAAACTGCCTGTGTGATGGTAAAACCACATTAATTTGCTTTCTTAGAACCACAGAATAATTTAGGACAAACCCATGTCCAGCCCTCATGTCTGAAACAGGGCTAACTTCAAAGACACATCCGGTTGGCTCAAGGCCTCATCCAGTTAAACTCTGAATATCTCCAAGAACAGCGATTTCACAGCCTCTCTGGGTCCTTGGGCCAGAGGCTGACCAATACCCTGAGAACTGCACAACTCTCCCCCAATATCTAACTAGAGTTTCTTTTGCTGCAACACATTTGTTGGTTCATCTTCTCCCTGTTCGCTCCTGAAAAGGACGTGGGTTGTGCCTTTTCCACGACCACCTATTAAGCAGTGAAAGTGCATGGACAGATCTTACTACAGCCTTCTCTTCTCAGCCTTAAGAGACACTGCTCTCTCACCCTCTCCTCAGCCCCCTGACCATCCTGTTGTACTAGTTCCAGTCTGTCGGTGTCTGTCTTGTATTGCAGAGCCCAAAAATAGGCACAGTACTCCAGGTGCACTCTCAAATTGCCAAACAGATGGCAATAATTATCTTCCTTGATTTGCTAGCTATGATCTTACTAATATAAGATCTACAGTTGGCCTTCATTGCTGCAAGGAAGCACTGCTAACTCATTCTTAGTGTATCACCCAGCAGGATCCCCAGGCTCTTTCCTACGAAGCCGCTTTCTAGCCAGTCAGTTCTTAGCTTAAGTTGCAGAGGGTTATCCCGTCCCAAGAGCAAGACCTCGCATTTGTCTGTGTTGAAATTCCATCTTCTCCAGAGCATCAGTACTCCCCAACAAGCTGCCAACTACGATTTTGCATGGCAAGAGACTTCCTGCTTTGACGTCCAGCCTCGAGAAGCAGCAGAAAGCTTCCCTTGCTTGCCTGCTCAAACAATAACGAGAGATTCAAAGCACATCCCCAAGTCAAGAGCTAACATGCAGCAACCTGCCAGCAAGGGAGAAAGCGCACATTCCGGCTGCAAAAGGCCTATAAAACCACAGTTAGCCTAAAAGGACTCTGTCCCAAAAATAACACTAGAAGCATTGCCATAAAGGGAAGGGTGGGGTGAAGAGCAAACATTTTGGGAGAAAGCATCGTTTACATACTTTAAAAGAACATAAGCCCTGTAAAGCTGCAGCCTGTGTGTCCACCCAATGTGAGCATGACGTGGTGGGGACTGTTCAGATAATCCCTTACCGCGTTGTGCAGGAAACTGTTTGTGGTGGTGATTTTCATCTGTTTGCTAGTAAGGGGAGAGACACTTTCATCATCATCTTCCATGTCATACAGACCCTGAAGAGAAGCAAGGTAACAGTTTACAAGCAGGTAGATTTAATCTAGACATCATAATAAGTAGTTTTCCCCTGCCTTCAGCCTTCTTCAGGTAATGAACGTGACTACATTGGACTTTACTCCTGTCCTTGCAGCTTGGGGACACAGAGCTGAAGGTATGCAAGTCCATTTCAAAATGCCAGCGTAAAAACTATCAAACTTCTTTTCCAGAAATGCCACAGTAAAGCTATTTCCCTAGGTGTACTGAAACCACATATAGATTTCTCTAATGCCTAGACCTCATCAGGACTGATGAAACAACATTAATGGAATAAAGCCTCAGTGTCTTACTTTTTAGCACCCTGCTACCTTTAAAGTTGAAGCATGTGCATATGATTTTTTTTTAATTAGTTCTTTTTAAATTAAGCATATGTCTGCCAAATACATCTGAACCAAACGTTCCTTTTGAACAGCCTCTTTCCTCAGCACAGCACATATCCATCTGACACTAGAAAACACTGCACTAGGTTTACTGAATGAATAATTAATTTCCCAGTTCAACTTAACGCTCATAGCCCTGCCTTAAAATATTGAGGCTAACTCCTACACAGATATTTTTTCATAGATTCTAAATAATGTTAAGAAAAAGTCTATACGCATGTCACTGCCCAGAACATAAGAAGTCACAACTCAAAACAGCTTCCCATTAATTCAGTAGAAAGGTGAAGAAAAACGGAGGGATTAGCAATGAGAGCTTGCAAAATAAGTGGGTTGTCATAGTCAGCAAGATTCTGGTTTACAAACAGGAAAGTTGTTCCAGTCACAGAAATGCTATGAAGGAAAAAACCAAAAAGAGATGGTAGAACAAAGGAGAATTGTGCAGAAAAGAACGGGGGAAAACACTAGCCATCAGGACAATGGACTTGAGTTTGAGACAAAGTGAAATGGATTCAAGGCTTATAGTGATGAGGTCAGAATAATGACACTTCCTTAAGCATCTGGGATAGATGAAGGCAGCAAGTCAATGTAGAGGTAACATACACAAATAGCTAAAGTTACCATAATTGATGCAAAAAACCCCAAAACAAAACAGGACACATTATTGTGAATGAGTTTTCCAATATTTCATATTTTTTTGTGTGTGTACATAAAGTATTATAAGTAATAAAAAGGTGTAATTCCTCTCTGAAAGCACCCAAGGTGGTAAGGTGGCTGAATGGCCGGGAGCTGTGACGAAGGCCTTTAAAATTGATCCCAGAAAAGACAGCACAAATTCTAGGGTTCTCCTCAGACAAAGTCTGATTGATAAGGGATATGGCAAATTTGATAGCACATCAGAATACCAGCTAACATCATTCACTATCAGGTTTCCAGCAGGGACCCATAGCTGGGATTTCACAGGAAGGTTATGCCATCTCCCACCTCACTGTGGAACATTTGACCATGTACAATCATATCCACTCTCTGAAGAGGCTGGCAGGATGGTGAATCAAAACAACAAAAACTTGGTTTCATGTGGTGTCACTGAGAAATTTACAGAAAAACATCACAGCTAAAGGTCACAGTCTCTAGAAAAAAAAAACATTAGTGCATACAGATGAAAATCGGGAATACCTACTTTGCATTTGTATAACACACAAGGAATCAAGATCAATTAGACTAAATGAAAACCTCAATTACCATGAAAGTATCTTAACCATGCAAGAATAGGGAGCTAAGCTGTTAGAGAACTTCCACACACTTTTCTTTTCTACTTGAAGTTTTCTTTGCACCTGCCAATGTTTATGGACACTTTCCTTCCCCGCCCAAAGGTAACAAACAAAGAGCACAGAGCAGGCACACACCTGTTTGTGTGTGTGGTTGTTCACCACATTGATCCTCATTCCTGCTGGATGAGAGTGTCCAGGTACTGGAGCTTTCTGCTACAGTTAGAGAGAAAGAACCAAAGCATTAAACGCTACAGTCCACCAGATCCCCATTTCAGAAGATCAGAGCTGTTAGTTAATACCCTGAGACCACTTAAATGAAACTCGCTCTCCTGCTCTTGAAACATATTACCACAATATGCTATTAGATAACATCTATGTTTCCTGTAATATGTTCAATATGAGATAGCTTCACTTAATTGAAGAAATTAAAACCTAAGGCCACGAAGAGAAACTGATTTGAATTGCTTGAGTTTTAGTCCAAGATTAGTGGGAAGGACTTAACTCCAGCCCTGCCAGCACTGACTAGATCTGCATTTCTGCCAATAGGAAACCATGAATGGGGTAAATCAGTAAGTAAGCTTCTCTTCTTTCATGCTACAGGGAACCAAAGATACCTACTTCCATCAAATTCAGCAAGTTGGGACACAACACAATTTAGTTCTGTTCCATTTCAAAGGAGAAGTATATACTGTCCCTTCACAATAGAGCTGGAATAAGCTGTAGTGGAATAAAGTGATGCACAGGGTAGTATAGCTGACCCTTCCGCAGCCTGTTATCCCATGAAACAGGGAAATCACAACAGAAGTAGTCAGGGAACGTAGCTGTACTCATCAACAACTGAAATCAAACAGCAACTCTCTCAAAAATGCCCTTTTGGTTTTTGAAAAAGCATTACAGAAAAGAATGGGTCTTCTTACAAAAATACTCTATACAGGCAGTAAAATCTTCAGATTTGCATTTTCTCTAGACTGTAACTTACACCACAGCACCCTCACGCTTCAATTAGCTAATCAATTTAGAAACAAGGGTACCTGTCCTACAGAAACATCAGCAGAGCTATGGAAATTCTTTGGGTTTCAAAGACTTTTTTCCCTTCCTTTATGAGAAACAAGACCACAGTATAGGACATTAAAGCTGTGTGCTGCATGTCAGATCAAGATACTTTAGTTTGATTCTGCTCCCACATTTGGGAAGAGAGGAGGGCCATGGGCAATTTGGAATTTCACTATAAATAATTTTTAAAAAATTATTAAATAATTGCTCATGTGCACAGTTTTGTCTACAGTCTTAATCACTATTACATTCTACAACATTTTCTTTTTTTGCAATATGTTGTTTAACAAACAAAGTACTGTAGGTCAAACCAAGTCTTAAAAAAAAAAACTAGGGTCAGAGCAAATTGCTGCCATACCAAGTCTCTGGAAACTATTTTAACTCCTAGAAACTTTGTAGAAAATGTTCAACTCCTAATGGCTGATGGTGGTGATTTGGCTTAGAAGGACAGCATGAGTACTAATTACCCTACTAATTAAAGACTACTGAACAGACTGCTCTATTGCTCTGCGATTAGCCCTTCTTACTGCCACAAGAGTCCTTTCTCTTTCTTAGGTCAGCCTGGCAGGAAACCTGCAGAGTAATGGGAAATTTCCTAGGCTAATTTAAAGAAGAAATATGCTTGATGGTCTTCAGCAAAACAGAAAGCAGACTCATCTAGGCTTTCAAACTGATGAGAATAGGAGATTTTCTGGGTACGTGTAAGCACACCATTGATCTTTGGGAGGAGGAAAATGAAAGAGGTAGGCTAGGAACTTCGGTTACATGCTTGTAGAGGTGAGGAACAAAACCACTCCTCAAACAACAATCCTGACAGTCTGGAAACTTCTCTTCTGACTCCACCCACCATACCTAACACACACATCATTCAATAGTAGTTATTTCACAGAGAAGTTTGCTAAGAATCAAGTTACTGTGCACACAGCAAAGTGAAATTAGAAAATTGTGAGAGGAAATCAGCAGGTTAGGGTGATCAACTGATTATACTACAATTGAAATAAATCTTGAGCCTCAGCAGGAATGTATCGTGTAATCAGGCAACTCCCTGGCAGTCAGGGCTTTCCTGAAAACCAGCCAAGTAGAAATAGAGAAATTGTAGAAGGGCTCATTGAATTTTTGATCTTCTTAGATACAAACACAGCTGTGTATTCTAAACTGTTATCCCACCACTAGGATAAACCAGTTATCTAGAGAGGACAATCCACCCCATCAGACTTGCAAAGAGGGGTGGTATAAGAATGACAAAAATGCATACATTTTCTTTGTATTTAGGTGGGAAAGAGACTACTTAACCATTCAAGACAACTACTTTAATGCTGACAGGAGTGCTGCTTTAGTCTTTATTGGGCCCAAAATTCAAATGAAAATTTAAATGAAAGCTGGGGTTCTACAAAAAGCCCCAAGCAGCTGCAAGGACACCCAAAAGGCTCTGAATCCTGCCCTACAGGCTGGACTGAACTGTATCACCATCGCTTCTATTGTAAACATGTGAACATATTAATGTATTATCATGTATTCATGTATCATCCAGTATATCGTACTGGACTGCTGTAGAATAACTGAGGGCTCAGAGATTGCTTGCTTGACCTACTTGGATAGTTTTGGTGATTTTCACGGCTGGATTTACTGTCCCCATAGTTGGGCTGATAGCAGCTGGAGCGCTCCTTTTTAAGCTGATCTTCTCTCTGGCATCCACCACTTTGGTCACCTTTTCAGCAGCAACACTTTGCTGCTTACGGGAATTCAACATCTCTCGAGCATCCTGCACCTTCCCTTTGATTTTGAACCGAGCGTCCTTTTGAACCAGTTTTTCACGGGCATCTTTAACCCCCAGTTTGTGTCGGGCATCAGTGAGTCCTATCTTCTGTCGGGCATCAAATGTCCGCTGGAAGCTGACAGCTGGTGATGATCTATTTAGGAGATTTTGCTGGATCCCAATGCGAGATCTTACACCTCCAAACACTGGCCTTGTGTTAAGCCTGGGGGGAAAAAAAAAGTTTCAGATATTATAAGGTGTGATACAGTATCAATAAAAGTATTTGTGTTGCTGCAAACAAAAGCGCATTATTACTGCACAGAAATCCACTCAGGTTAGATGTCCAAATACAACAGTAGAGCTCCTAAGCTGTTTTATGCTGGATTTTACTTTCTACATAAACAGCTAAGGAACTGATTTCCAAAATCCATCCTTAAGCTCACATTTACAAACTTAAGTAAAGGTTCTGACTTCAGCTGTGCTAAGTACATGCTACATTTAAACAAAATTCATCAACAACTTAGGTACTTTAGGAAAACCTTTGAAGACGAAGAGGAACAGAAACAGACTTTCTAGCTTTAGGACTCAGCAGGTCTGCTAACCATCTTTTGTAATACAATAATATGTCCTGATAAAAAGGAAACATGTAACTACACATGATTTCAAGAATTCTGGGCAACAAGTTCAGATTTGTGGGAGTGTAGAGGCTTGGATTTTAGGATGTACAAGCACCGGTACCAATCTCAGTTCAAAGCCACCAGTTTCAAGGTTTATTGTAGGGTTCTACTATCTTAACATTATTTACAGTCATGTATTTTCAGTGGAGAGATCTGTAAAAAAAACCAGAGATGAAAGACTGAACCTCCACTTCCGCCTCTCTCATTCTTGTGTCCAGACAACTGGAGAGCTAGGACTGGGGTCCCATTTTGTTACCTAGCTAAGAATCCTACGGCTGGTCTCTCATACAGCCAAAGCACACTAGCTAGAAGAAACAGGAGTATTAAGATCATTTATTAAAATATATCCAGAATAAAAAAAAAACAAACACCAAAACCCCCCCAGCCACAGAACAAGACTTCCCTTACAATTTTAAAAAGCATTAATTTAGCTATGTTGAAAGCATTCAGAGTGCTGCAGAAGGGCTTGATGAGTGGTTCTTTTTAATGAGCATAAAAGAGGTCAAAGCAAAACCAGAAATATATGTATCAGCATTTAAGCCAGAATTAGTTAAAACTGTTAATGACATGAACTAATGAAATTGGTTAGGAAACTCTGTACTGAAGATTACACCGTCTCTGAAGACTTTTGTTTATCCTAATAAGCAACTCTCTTCCGTAGAGAATTACTTACCCTGTAACAGCATTAACTGTTTAGGCATTTTGTGCCACAGCACCTGAAATAAAAGGGAATCTCAAACATCTAATTCACTTTCCAGAACTTCAAGTTCTGGCTTGAATATTTTGTGGATTGGTACATTTTATAGGTGAAGATTTTTCTGTTATTTCATCTAGGCTACTGAACAGCACGGATATAATGATTTAAGTTTATTCAGTTTATCCAGCCTTCACAAAGTCAAGTTAGCTGCCTCAGAAATCTTATGAAGTGAGCTAAACATGACAAACAAGAGAAATGCAAGGCACAAAAAGTCTTACAGTGCTGCAGAAGGATTATCGTTCAGCAAATAAAAGCAGGAAGAATTTCTGGAAGAAATGAGAGTTAAGGAGGGATTTGAAAAAGGAGAAAGGAGGTGCTTGGCATATTAAGCAGCATAAGACTGTTCCAAATACACAGGATAACATGAATGAAAGCGCAAAGCCAAGGCCTTGTCTAGACTAGGATTTAAATATGTGTTTGAATGTTTTGCTAGTATACGTTATCAGATAACTTTCAAAATACTACTCTAGACATATAAGCGTAGACATTCAGAGTGAAAACCTAAGATTCCCCAATGACCATTAAATTAAACAAACAAGAAAACAACAACAACAAAAAAGGAGCACACTTAGCTAACACAGATGGGGAGAAATCTATGGACAAGATCTTCAGAAGCATCAAGTGCCTATAGCAAAAAGGAAGATGAAAAGCCACCAAAGGAGAAGGCAAATAAGAACTGCCAACAGCTGCACTAGAGTAAATGGCCCAGCCTGCACTAGAGATGTCTGCCATACAAAGCAGGAATCTAATCTTGTAGCTAATATGTAACACGCTCCACAGCCACACAAGCATTTCAAACAATCTGTTGGAGTCTAATTAACTATGCTACAAAGACTACAGTTTCCAAGGGCCAGGCAGCAGTTTTGATGAAGCCATGGCAGCCTGAAGCCTCGCCTGTGCGGATCCCCATCAGCTTTGCCAGTTACGACTCCCCGTGGCACAACTACACCTCCCACGGCTATCCCACAATGCACCGTGCCACTCATCAACGCTCCCCTTCTGGGAGCTGCGGGGGGACGGGGCACCCCCAGGGCCCTGCCTGACGAAGAGCTGCAGCTCCTGCTGCAGATACAGGGCAGCCAGGATGCCGAGGGGGCTCGGGGGCGCCGAGGCCCCGCTGATCCCGGCTTGGGGAGCGCCACTGGGTTAATCGGCGGGGAGAAGCAGGAGGTACAGGTCGGAGGCACTAGTGAAGCCATGGGCTGTGCCAGACATCTCGGGAGAAACGAGAAGGGCCCGAGAAAGGAAGGGGAGAAGCAGGAGGTAGCGGGGAAGGCGCAGGTCGGAGGCACTAGGGAAGCGATGGGCTGTGGCAGACATCTCGGGAGAAACGAGAAGAGCCCGAGAAGGGAAGGGGAGAGGCGGTGGGTGGGCCTGCCCTGCCGGGGCTAGAGCCCACGGGGCACCGCCAGGCAGAGCGGGGTGAGGTGTGGGGACAGACCCCCGCCCCGGCCCCAGCCCGCCCCGGCTCCGAGCGACGGCAGCCCCCACCACTCTACAGGCACGGCCCCGCAGACCAACGCCTAAGCCAATGGGAAGGCGAAAGCGGGGAATAGGGCCGGGCCGCGCTGAGGCAGGCTGCGGCCCGCAGCCTCCGGAGCGGAACGACCAGAAGGGAGAACAGAGGAACCACCGGAGGCCGCCGGGTCCGGGGCGTTGCCCTCCCGACCGCTTACCTCCCTTTCACCGTCACACCGCGTTTTCGTATGAGCTCGTCCAGAGAGAGGTCCGCCATCTTGTCGCGGGGCCCAACGATAAGACGCAGCGAGCGAGACCCGGACATGACATCATACTACTTCCGTTCCTCGCCCCGCCTCCAGAAGTGAGATGGCCCCGCCCCTCGCCCCCCCGCGGGGGGGGGGGGGGGGGGGGGGGCGGGGAGAGCGTCCCACAACCCCCAGCGGCGCCCGGGCCCATCATTTACATACGGTCCCCGGCACGTCGCGTTCGGGTTCAGCCGGCGGCAGCGGTTACGCGGCACAGAAGGGGAAAAAGACCGGGCAGAGAAGTCAGGGTAAGGGAAGACTAGCTTGTGTGCTGTGGGGCGGCGTGGGGAGTTGCTCGCCCTGACCTCGAGAGCTAACGCGCAGGGTTCTCCCGACGGGGCGGAGGGAAGACGGTTATGCCTTAAACTTATGAGTAAGGAAAATAACGACCCGGGGTGACGCCCGGGTCCTCACTGCCAATGTGAGAGGAATTTTTGCGCGGGTACAGGTCGTCCCCGGGTGACCCGCTTACTTCGCGGGATGCCCGGGTGCCGTGATCTGCCCGACCCTCCGTGCCGCGCGTCCCAAGGACAGAGGTGGGGCGGCGGCGCTCCGCCC